TCCATGATAATTTTTCGAGGGAAGATTGGTCTGGGGAATTAAGGGATGAAACTGTGTTGTTCCAAGCGCAAAATGTTGATTCTGAGCTCTTTATCTCGTGGGAATTTCGGTGCTGGATGTTGTTGAGGGTCGTATTAAATTCTTTCTTCTTCGCCAGCTGGTGGGGGAGATTTGATTGATTTAATTAAACGCAATTGAGGAAAAAATAGGAACGGAGCTTTACCTGTCTGAAGGGCGAATTGAGGTTCTCTCTGGTGGGAAAATCGAGTGTTGGATGCTGTCGAGTGTACAGTGTGTGGTCGTCTCAGTGCCTATAGCAGGTAGCGAGGAAACTTGGAGTGAGATGTTACCATGTAGGAGATGAATGAGAAAATATTGTAATTAAAGTAATGGTTGATCCAACACCTGAGAAAGAGAGAGGATGAGAATTTGTTAGTTAATTAAACAACAGTGGGTAATTCCGTAACATCTCTTGAAGGATATATAATTTGGTTGTTAGCAGTTAAGTGAAGGAAGCGGTGTAACTACAGGTACAGTACAGGTGCGGAGGTTCACCATGCTTACAGTACATGAACATTATTTTAGATTCATGTATATAATTAGGTCACGTCTTGTAGTTTAGCTTCATTGTACATCGTTACATCGTGTACCATAGTGTTCAGGATCCATGTACAGTACATTATGTTGTCAGGTCATGTTCTGTTACACAAACAATTATTCACGGTTAATGTACAGCTGCACACATTGATCACATCACAAACACTACTCACAAACAACAAACATTACTATATCCTAGCTAAGAGTACAGAAACACTACCCAGGATCAGTGTACATTATCACACCACATGTTACACCCACACACACAGGGTAAAGGTACATTAATTATTACAGTAAAGCCAACGAACTCAGACATTTTTGACGTGTGACTTAAAAGATGGTGAAGGGCGTCGCGAGATAAGAGGGTTAGGTTAGCAGAGGGTGGTGAAAGGAGGGTGGTGCTACGTCAGCTTACATTTTCATCTGTCTCTTACACCTGCACTCAACACCTGCAATCACCACCTGCATTTGTTTTATTTCACCCAGTTACGTGATTCCTTGTGATTATTATTATTATTATTATTATTATTATTATTATTATTATTATTATTATTATTATTATTATTATTATTATTATTATTATTAATCATACCAGTTTCATCTTATCATCATTTAATATTTACAAATATTTTTTCGGAATTTATTTGTTCAGTGTAGATATAGTAATGTATGTAATGATATCCACACGTATCGTTAACACTTTAAACTAACATACATACATACATACATACATACATACATACATGTCTGTCTGACTGTCTCATAAACAATAGAAAAAAATTTTATCATCATCGATTTACTTTTTTCAGCCTCCTAAAAAAATAAAGGAAAAACTCTGGCTGGCTTATTGTCTGTCTAGTTCAGATTTGACCTTTGACCCCTCAACACATTGGTCATAACTATACATTTTTAGTCCGTTGTATTTTGACCGCAGTATTTTATTATTATTATTATTATTAATATTAGTATTAGTATTAGTATTCCTTTAGAGAGAGAGAGTTTGTTTTCATTATATTTCACTAGTAGATTAATGCAGCGGTCTCAACAAAGAGTCACCTGGTAAAGATTGTGGTTTCGTTATGTGTTTCATTCTATGCTTGACTGTTTCGGTACATGTTTGTATGTCCTGCAGCTGGTGTATGTCCTGCAGCTGGTATTTGTGTGATCTACAGCTGGTGTGTGTGTTTGCCTTACAGCTAGTATGTGTGTATGCCCTGCAGCTGGTGTGTGTGTGTGTGTGTCTTGCAGCTGGCATGTGTGTGTATGCCCTGCAGCTGGTGTGTGTATGTATATGCCTTGCAGCTGGTGTGTGTGTACGCCCTGCAACTGGTATATTTACATGGAACATATGAATTAAGTCAGTATTCCTCGAGTGCTACACTGAGATGAAATGTTGACTCCTTGTAAGTTAGGAGGAGAAAGAGGAATAAGAAGGGGAGAGGTAGGAGGAGAAGGAGAAGGAATAGGGAGAAGAGGAGGGGGAGAAGGAGAAGGAATAGGGAGAAGTAGGAGGAGGAGAAGTAGGAGGAGGAGTAGTTAGTATTATCATTATTATTATATATTGTTATTATTATTTGCAATACAGTTTTTTATTTATTTTCTTCCACCTGTTTTATTCTGTTTTATTACACACACACAAGAGAGAGAGAGTTCCTGGGTATTGCAGCGAAAGGCGTAGTAATATTGGCACGACTTTTGGCATACAAAGGCAGAGTGATATATATATATATATATATATATATATATATATATATATATATATATATATATATATATATATATATATATATATATATATATATAGTGACCTGATGGTGAAATGTCACAGGTGAAATATACCGACGTGACCTTTGGTGGTATATATTTAAAGATGAAATATATTGTGAATTACTATAAAACAAGGTCACTGGTGAAATATATTGTGACCTCTGATAGGGTAAAGGTCAAAGATGAAAAATACAGTTGATTATTATGGAACAAGGTCATAGGTGAAACATAGTGACTTACCATGAAACAAGGTCGTAGGTGATGTATATCTGACGTGACCTCATAATGTAAACACTGATAAAGAATGGACTGATTACGTAATAGGTGTGTGCGTCATCCAGTGTTTGTGTTATTTATGATACAGTGGTGCCACGTGTTGGTAATGGGGGGGGGGAGAGGATGGGTGGGGAGGAAGGGGAAAGGAAGACTGGGTAGGGAGAGGGGAGGAGACGAATGGGGAAGGCGAGGGGACAGGACGAATAGAGAAGGAGGGGGAAGAGTCGGAATGGGGAGGTAGAGGGGTGGTTAGACAGGAAGAATGGGAAGGGGAGAGACAGAATGGGAAGTAAATGCAATGGCATGCGGGTTGAAATGACTAATGTGTTTGCTGGGTTGGTGGGGGGTGTAGCAGCGGTGTTGGTGACTGATAGTGTTGGTGACTGATAGACATAGTGTTGGTGATTGATAAATAGGTAGATAGACAGTGATGGTGACTGAACGTTAGACAGACTGTGTTGGTGTCTGATAGATAGATAGGGCGGTGCTGGTGACTGATATAATTAATTAGACAGACAGACAGACAGAGACAGATAGACACATTAGCCGTATAGTGTGAGGTGGTGTGATTAGGTTAACCTGATCCGTAGGTGGTCATGTAGGTGATCAATTACTGTTGACTGTGGCCAGGTGAGCTGATGGTGGTGATAATTGTGTTGGTAGTGGTGGTGATGAAGGTAGTGGTGTTGGTGGCGGTGATAGTGGTGTTAGTAGTAGTGGTGATGATGGTGGTGGTGTTAGCGGTGGTGGTGGTGATGAAGGTAGTGGTGTTGGTGGCGGTGATAGTGGTGTTTGTGGTGGTACTGATGATGATGGTGGTGTAGTGGTGGTGGTGACGAAGGTAGTGATGGTGGCGGTGATAGTGGTGTTAGTAGTAGTGGTGATGATGGTGGTGGTGTTAGCGGTGGTGGTGGTGATGAAGGTAGTGGTGTTGGTGGCGGTGGCATGAGTGGTGTTAGTGGTAATAGTAGTGGTGATGATGGTGGTGGTGTTAGCGGTGGTGGTGGTGATGAAGGTAGTGGTGTTGGTGGCGGTGATAGTGGTGTTAGTAGTGGTGATGATGGTGGTGGTGTTAGCGGTGGTGGTGGTGATGAAGGTAGTGGTGTTGGTGGCGGTGATAGTGGTGTTTGTGGTGGTGGTACTGATGATGATGGTGTTAGTGGTGGTGGTGATGAAGGTAGTGATGGTGGTGTTAGTGATAATGGTGGTGGTGACGGTGCTGGTATTGATGATGGTGATGGTAGTAGTGGCCGTGATAGTGATAGTCGTTATGGTGGTAACGATTACAGTATTGTTAGTGGTTGCGATGGTGGTTATGCTGGTAGTTGTGGTTATGGTGATAAATGCTTTCGTAATCTTATAGTGCATTTGTGATGCTTCGTAAGAGTGATGACAATGTTCATAGGTGTGGTTGTGGTGATTGTGGTGACAGTAATAGTGATGTTAATAATTTTGAGAGTTGTGATTGTGGTAATCGTAATTCGTAGTATATTGATAGTGGTGAATGTGGTGATAGTGTCGACAAGGATGATTATGGTGATTAGAATTGTTGTAGGTGATCGTGGTGATATTAATAGTGGTGATTGTGGTAATAGTGATGGTTATGGTGATGTTTTTTGTCAAGTAGAGAACAGTTATTATGGTTGTAGTCATTATGGTATTGTTTGGTTGACTTGGGTTGTATTTATGGTAACCGGTTGTAAGAAAATGATGTTGGTTATAGGAGATCCCACGCGTCATAACTTAACAGTGTTTGTGGTTATTAAAAGAGACTATGATGGTTGTTGTTTTGGTAGTGACAGGTTGTGGGAGTTATGGTGAGGATGGTGTTGCTCCTGGTGGTGGTGATGATTCGCTCAAGACGTTTGGTGCATGGTGGTGATGATGGTACTGGTGGTGCTGTCTGTCTGTCTGTCCTTTCCTTTCCTTTCCTTTCCTTTCCTTGCCTTTCCTTTCCTTGCCTTTCCTTCCTTCTTTCCTTCCGTCCGTCCGTCCTTCTTGCTGACAACTGGTTAATGCATAAGTTCATCATGAATATGTAATGAACTCAAGTGAATTTGGTCACGGTCGAGGGCACCATCCATGCCACCGTTGACTTAAGTAAGGTGTAGTAATGCTGACGGTGGTGCTGGTAAACGCTGTCCTTGAAAATATGGTGGCTGGCTGAAGGAGAAGGAAATGAAACGGCAGGAGTAGCAGCAGTAAAAGCAGTAATATAACTAGGGAGGGAAGCGGAAGAGGACGAGGAATAACGCAGCGTGAGGGAGGGAGGGTGGTAGTGAGGAGAGAGGGAGGAGCAGACTGGGTCGGGTTGGGTCGGGTCGGTAAGGTCCAGGGCGCGGGCCTGGCTCAGAACCGGTGTTGACGCCTGACCGGGAGCACACACACGCACCTTCTTGCCTCCTCCTGTCCCACGCTCTTGCCTGCCCCCCACCCTGCCCGTCGCTCGTCACACCAGGAGCAGCAGCTGCCTCACTGTCCACCTTGACACGTGTCACAGTGTGTCACACGAGTCCGCACGGTTGTTGTCATTCTTATGGTGCGTCTGTCGTTTAATTGTTCGAGGACCCGCGGTGGAAACTCGGCGAAACTAATAGCGATGAATTAAAAAACTGATATTTATGTTAAGCTTTTAGTTATTTTGAATATTAATGGTTAACAGTTTTGGAGAAGAAAGTGAATGGTAGAAATAAAGAGAATATATCTAGACTCGGGAGATAATTGTCTGCGTACCAGTGAGTGAAACAGTGGTGAGAAAAAAAAATAAAGTCAAGAGAAACACCATTCATGCTGGGGTGTGAGGTCCTCCCTGACACATGTTGTTGTTGTGAAGGTGAACCTGGGGAAATTTAGCAGACGTCTAACCTCACATTTACAAAGTATTTATTATATGCACTGAAACTATTTATATTCCGAGTGAAAATATACATGTGAATGAGCGGGAGTCTTGCGAGGTGAGAAGTTATAACGAGTCACTTTCTGGCCCTCGCGGGAGACGAGTGTACAATGACGGCTGATGGTCTGTGTGTCAACAAAGCCGGTATGAGGCGCGTCGCTCTTCTGCCCACTGTCCTCTGGCTGTCTAGGACCATTTGGGATAGTGCGAAGCTCTGCAGGAAAGCTGTCTAACACTTGACGTAACTGTCTTGTGACAGCAGTGGTGAGTGTCCTGCGTGGAGCGTGTCAGTGGTACACGGCCTCCCGAAACCCCTGTCGTCTCCCCTTCACATGTTTTTCAAGGTCAAATTCTGCTACACCAGCGTAATTCAAGATCAAGAGGACTCGTCTGTTGTCGAAATTCCTGTATAGGAATTGTGATCCTTAGTCAGTACGAGGCGCTCTTTGTTGCCAGAAACGGCGACTCTGAAAGATCACAAGTATTTTGAAACGCAGTTATCCAGAAAACTCGTTCCGAAGGAAGATCACGTGTAACTACGTTGGATGAGTGTTGGTAGTGTTGGTGAGTGAGTGAGTGAGTGGATGAGTAGGGCAGAGTGGCACGAGAAGAGTCAGCGGGCGTGGTCCTCCCTCATGGCCTGGGTCACCACTAGCCTCCATGGCAAGGCGACTGCTGGACTCAGAAGCTGAGTCCACTGCCTCTGCTGGTTCCCTCCAGTGCCATACCGTCCCCCCAGTGCCCCTTCCCTCCACCTGCACCAGCATGAATAAAGAGGGAGAGGATCTCCCTCCTTCCCCCTCTAAGGGGAAGATGCCTTCTGTCAGCTTCGGCACGGCGGCTTTCATTCTTATCCGGGTCAAGAGAGCGTTCAAGAAGAAGAGGGCCAAACTGAAAAGGTAAATATAAGTGTTGTATTTGTACCTCCCGTGGAGGATAGATGTACAGTGTATGTATCTTTGTTCCTTGAAGCACAGCCAGTGGCACATCCCTGCACAGTATTTGTCAGTAGGCCGGTGTGCTGTGTTCGCCTGGGAGTGCCACGGTAGTTGGTAGTGCCACAATAACAATTTGCCAATGGCTTGACAGGCGGCCGTGTGTGTACTCGCTGGCACGACAAGTAGTGTTGACGTGAACTCACTCTTATGCAACTCAACTCACATGTATCATGTATATATACTGTATATATATTTACTTCCTGACGGGCCATCTCAAGTGTTGTGTAAAATATAAGAACAAATTTAGTAGTACACCACTATTAAGAAACACATTTATACACACAAACCACAACTGTTGTCTGTGGGGAGTAAAGATGACCACCAACAATTACAAAACATTCTGCGATCTTACTTGTACTAAACCCCTGAGTACAATGACTTAATTCCTTGAGCAATTTGTCTTAAACTTTTGAGTACGACGACTTATTCCATTGAGTACGACGACCTATTCCCTTGAGTACGACTTATTCCCTTGAGTACGACGACATGGTAGGTCTAATGGATTATTTCATCGTAGCCAAAAGCCGAACACCCAACCCTCACATGCTCCTGCCGGTGTGTCGAGAGTGAGGGCCTCAACACAGTAAATGAACTACCTGAGGCAAGTTATGAACACTACAGTAATTACGGTGTTGGTATAAACATCGAGGAGAAAGAGAACGTTGTTACTATATGTCATCACGGCATTGTGGAGGAGGAAGTGGAAGAGGAGAAGAGGAGGCGTAAGAGGAAGAGAGACATAGAGCAACGTTGTTACCTTATGTCATGACACTGAGGAGGAGGAAGGGAAGAAAACTAGAGGAGGAGGAGGAGTAAGAAATGAGGAGGAGGAGGAGGAGGAGTAGTAGTAAAAAAGGAGGTGGAGGAGAAGAAGAAGAGGAGGCGAAGAAAAAAAAGGAGGAGAAGTAGAGCAATATTGTTACCATATGTCATCACGACATTGTGGAGGAAGAAGTGGAGGAAGTTAGTATAGAAGAGGTGGAGGAGGAGGAGGAGGAGGAGGGTATAAACATTAGTATAAATATGGAAGACGAGGAAGAAGCAATAAATATTTCTATAAACATGGAGGAGGAAACTATGAAGTATAAACACCATTAAACCGTAGAACACGAGGAGGAAGAAACAAGTAATAAATATGAATATAAATCTAGAGAAGGAGGAAGAGGAGGAGGAGACAATAATCATTATTATAACGGAGGAGGGAGATGAGAAAGTAATAAACATTCATATATATCTGGAGAAGAAGGAAGAACACAAACATTCACCATATAAACATGTAGGTTAACATTATCTATCAGAATATAAATCGACAGTGAGGTGTGTCATCCAGGTCTTTGAGTGACTGACTGACTCACTCGCTCACGCACTCACTCACTCGCTCACTCACTCACTCACTCACTCACTCACTCACTGAAAGATTTTTTTTACCCACCGGGCCGCGGCGACAACCTCTAACCTAACACATGCAGGAAGGGTTCTTGATAGGCCTTGTTTACAGGTGTGTGTATTACCTCTGTGGTAGATTATTATTGTTGTACTGGCAGGTGTTATTGTTTTCTTAGTGAGTGTGGTGTGGTGTGGGGTGTTGGTGAGGTATGTTGGTGTGGTGTAGTGTGTTGCGTTGTGCTGCCGCGTTTTCTCAGGTTTCCAATATGGCTGCGTGACGTAGTCCTGTAGTGTTCCAACATGGCGGCGGGTGTGGCTAGTGGTGAATGCTGTTTTATGGTAATATATATATATATTTTTTTTTTTTACATGGTGTAGGTATAACGATGATGATGATAATGTCGTTCGTCACTTGTTTTTGTTTCACGGTGATGTTTGTGTTTCTATGACGTGTGTGTGTGCGTGTGTGTGTGAACCAAGATTTTCCATTGAGTTTAAAAATGTCAGCAATAATTTTGATAATAAATGACAGACTTGTTGTGCTGGTGTTTTGGTGGTACACGCACATACATACATACACACGCGCACACACAATGACTCAATGCATTGAGTCATGTGTGGGTTAGGGGGCGGTTGTGTGGTGCGGGTATTTAAATGTCGTAGTATGTGCTCTCAGCAATAGCTCAACGCTGTGTTTGTTTACTACAGGTGAACGTCAGCGGTCGTACGCTTGGGCCATTGCCAGAATAATGCAGAGCAACTATGACGAGAGAGAGAGAGAGCACACTCTACTACTACCATATCTGTCACTGGAATTTGAGTATGATGATCATCCAGCTATGACACTATACTACGATGTGAATTATTAATGATATCACCTTAGTTGGTGAGCTCTGAGGTGACTCGAGAGGCTGACACGGGAGCGGCAGGGCCGTCCACAGGGCTACATCTAGTGCGGGGCGGCGGCAGCGTCTTTCCGGCGCTGGCGCTTGTCTGCCTCGGTATGCAGTCGGGCTAACTCGAAAATATTGGTTCTCTTGTCTTCCCACCGAGCTCGGAGGCTGGAACGTAGACTGCGTTGGTGAAGGTTTTTAAGTGTCTTGAGGTGGCTCCTGTATGTGGCCCATGTCTCGCTGCCATATAGCAGGGTGGGGAGGACCACTGCTTGATATACGTGCACCTTTGTAGATACTTTTCAGCTCCCTACAGCTGAAGACACGGGTACGGAGTCTACCAAAGGCTTGAGTTGCACATCTGATCCGATGTTGAAGGTCTTCTCTCTCTCTCTCTCTCTCTCTCTCTCTCTCTCTTGGGGGAATAGGAAGGGGTTTGTTGTTAAAAATTTTCGTTTTAAATTATTTTTGTTTATTTCACTAGTTATTATTTTCAATCATCATGTTACTGTTCATCTTCACCCTCCTCACCACCACCACTACCACCACTACCACCACCATCATCTTCCTCGTCATCATCATCACAACCATCACCATCCCCACCACATCATCATCATCACAACCACCGCCACCACCCCACCACATCATCATCATCATCACAACCACCACCACCCCCACCACATCATCATCACAACCACCACCACCCCACCACATCATCATCACAACCACCACCACCCCCACCACATCATCATCATCATCATCACATCATCATCACAACCACCACCACCCCCACCACATCATCATCATCATCATCAGCTTGTCTTTGCTCACCGCTGGACGGATCATCTATTTCGAGCCATCAACACCTTCAACCTTACTTAATTAACCCACCACTTAACAATGACGTCTTCCTGGTCTTTTCTTGTGCCGTGGGATCACAATTAGCTTGGCCAGGAAGTATTGGAGGTTGAAGGAGGATCAAGTGGACCAGGATGATTGGATAAGTTAAGCCAGGAGGTATAGGATGATTTAAGTCACGATCTGGAACTACTTCTCTTCCTAGGTCTTCCTCCTCCTCCTCCTTCACATTCTTCTCTTCCTCGTCCTCCTCCTCCACTAAGTTCCTATATCATCAGGCGTCTCCACTAGTTAATAATATACGACTTATTCAGAGATACAAGTTCAGGTACAGATTAAAGCATATCTTACAGGTTCACGAGGTCCCATGTAGTGAGAGCGTTGTGGAGTTGACTAATAGATATGTAGAGTCTGTAAACTCCTAAATATACTTCACACAGTCATGTATAATTCCAATGTTCATTAATGAGTACGGTAATTAGTATCATTGTAGTGATTTAATGTGTATATGAATAGAAACTTACCATAATCTGACTTAATTACCAAGAGACAGCCTGGTGTTACACTGTGTTGACAAGTTGTGGTGTTCGTGTGATAAGTTTGTTGTGCTGGGATACTGGTTGATGTTAGTGAAATTAAAAGTGATTAAAATAATAAAGTAGATATTAAGTTTGTTTAGTAACATCACACTCTTGATTTTGACACTGTAAACACACTCATTGACGACGCGTGTCCTATACCAGTATAGTCTGGCTCAGGAATTTTATGGCAAAACAGGTTGAATGTAGCGGTAGTATTTGTTTTAATCTGGTCGGTTCTTAGAAGGAATTAATCTTGATGGAATAACGTAGCCCTTAGTTACCTCCGACTGTGTTCCTTGTTAACACTAAGACTGAATTCCCGAAGTCGACCCCCCCAGTCTTGAGTAGTAGGACGGCCTCTGCTTTCTGTACTCACCTAGGTTAGTTATGTTGGTTGGCAGCGTAACTTTAGAATGGAAAACGTTACATAAATTTTATACTTTGCATATATATATATTCGCTGTGACAACTTCTAGAACTGAATATATTTTAAGGTCAGAAACTTAAAGGTCATGGCTCAACACACACACACACACACACACACACACACACACACACACACACACACACACACACACACACACACACACACACACCCACCCACCCACCTAGATCTTTTATCTGGACGGGAAACCTAAGAATAAATAGTGTCCTTGAATCTATCCTTTATAAACAAATATATATCTCGGCAATAACTCGGTGGGTGTTGTTGAAACCTTACAGCAGCACTCGACACCTCAGAGGAATCATTTTAACGTCTATTTTGGAATTTCCGAAGACTTAAATCTCCCCTCCTCCCCCTCCCCCCCTACAAAAATTCCGCAAATGTCCTTATCTTACAATTTAAAGTGTCATGAAGGAGAGTGTGAAGGAGGTAGTGAATGATTGTCGTGATGCAAAGTAGAGACTCAGTCATTTCCGTGTGACGAGGGAAGTCCTGGAAGTGGCAGCCGCTTACTCTCGTCTCCATTAGCTGATTACCTGTCAGGTGTCTCTCTTACCTGGTGACGAGTGTATGTTTACCTGTCCTGTTGATCACCTGTCTATTAAGGAGTGTACATGTACCTGTCGTATAGACGGGGATAGTAACAGGAAGTGGTGGGGGTGGATGGAGATGAAGGATAGGGGGAGGTGAGAGGTGGGGGATAGGAGGAGGGGAAGAGGGTGGGTGGATGATAGGGGG